CTCGTTTCAATAGTCGGACCGTCTGTTTCTGCCCGAATATATGTAGGCTCACTTTACGTGCTTTTTACTGACTGTCAAGGGAGAAAAGGACAGTGTTCATCGATTTTTACAAGTGATCTCGTCATTTCGTTTTATCTAAAATGTCTTTATTTAAAAATGGAACGCAACATAAATTAACGTGTTATTCCTCGCTCCTGATGTCACGATTCCAACATGATCACCACGTCTAGTCAAAGGCCTTAAGAATTTTTTTTAATGGAATTGCATTCGTTGGGTACATTTAGAACGTCTACCGCTCACTGAACGCTCAATGAGTTTTTTCATTTAATTGGCATATTCTATTAGATCCTAAAATATAGACAAATCAAATGAAAGAGCTGACAGTTTAGTGAGCGGTTGTCATTCACCCATTTTCATCACGCGATTCTAATACTTCCATGTAAACAATATGGGACGCCATTTTTATCTTGCACTAAAATGTTTTTTATTCCTGGTACCCATGATAAAAGGGATAACATGTATGTGTATTCAGTTTGCAAGCATCACTCTCCAAAATTTCTATCGTCTTTGTCTATGAATGTCAGGAGAAATTCCTGCTAACTGCGAAACGCTAAATATGGGGCGATATTCATATATTCATAATAATATCTTAAAATGTTAATACAATTCTCAGATTGACTTAGGACTGTATTTAAGACAGTCTTAAATGTAAGAATCGACTATAAATATCGGCCTGTTTCGCGTCGTGAAATTGATAGTGAATCTTTCTTTGTTTAATATATATACTTTATGATTCTCTTTCTATAGAAATTTTTACATTTCTATTTTTACATATTACTTTTACATATTATTTTTATATATTATATACGATTTTTACATTTAAGACTGTCTTAATACAATCTTAAGATGTCATAAGTAAATTCGAGGATTGTATTAACATCTTAAGACATTATTTAAGTTTTTAATAAAAACATATCATGAATACCGCCCTGTTTCGCATTTTACAATTAGTCTTTAAATCTTATGCGACATTCATAGACAGAGACAGCGGAGATTTAGACCGGTACCTTGACAAAAAAGCGGAAAGCGGAAAAGAAGAAGCCAATCAGAACTCGTGGAAAGACAGAAGCAAACAAGCGAAAAGTACCGTCTATTACTACTGCGAGTTCCGATTGGCTTCCGCTTTCCCGCTTCCAGTTTTTCCACCAAGGTATGAACTCGGCTTAAGAATGGTCTCACAAGACTTTCCGATTTTAATTATTCATTCGATCATCCGCTCATATGTATGCGATGGAAAGATGCCGTAAAAGTATGAACTCGGCTTTAGACTTATTCAGCGTTTTTGCATGAAACGAAAGAATCTGGCAAAAAAAAACTCTGCTTATCCGAGATATTAAATGTTGATGACTATTAAGATTAGGAAATCTGTCACAGAGGCAAAATGAGGTTTATAATTGTATTGTCCCACATTTCGACTGCTTTAGGGTGAAATCACACAATGCGGAATAGACATATTCTATATTCCTATCACCGTGTGATTTCATCCTTAGACTTTCCACGTGATGCAAAAAAGAACACGACTTTTATAATTATACTGTTAAAATCGAAATCCATATGCATTTTTTTAGACAAAATAAGTTAAAATGAGGCAGAAATTGGTTTTGTCACATGGTGGTTCCATCATGTTTTGGCGTAATAACAAAATAGTATAAAAAGCATAAAGTAATTAAGCAGAAATTGATATTCAAGTGAAATAATATGATTGGTCGGTGCAAGTTATGCCGCATATGATATCCTTAAGCCGGTTGCCAATATGAAGCGTTGATTTTAAAATGCAAATTTCAGATTGGTTATTGCAACAAACTTGCGATCAGCTTGCAACTAATGTAAAACCGGCTTTACAGAATAGAAGTTCTACACACTTATGCCTGTTCTATAACGGTCGTAAGTCGTAAACCATAAGAAATTGACTAGTCACAGTTAAGTGTGAGAAGAATAATTAACTATGATTGATTAATTTCTTATTGCTTGCTGCTTATGACTATTGTAAAACAAGCCTTAAGCTGATTCTACATTAAGCCATTCTACATTGATCGTAGACGTCGTAATTCACAAGCTTGCTACTTCAACCAATCCGATGCTTCAATTTTAAAGTTGCATAATGCTTACGACGCTTCCGATATGATCAATGTAGAATGGCCTTTAGTTGCAAACCGATCGCAAGTCTGTTGCAACAGCAATCTAAAGCTTGCATTTTGAAATCAACACTTCATATTGGCTATCGCAACAAATTTGCAATCAGCTAGCAACTAATGTAGAACTGGTTTTAGAACTGCTTTTTACATCAGCGCGAGCCATGGGCAAATATAGGCAATCCCTTCCATTTATATATGTTTCTAAGCAGGAGTTTCACACGATATTGTAGGCAAAAGGGTTAATTATATTTTATGGGAAGCCGATCCAGCTAACCTAACCTGTAGTTTCAATTTACTGAAGGCAGCCATATTCCTGATTGATAATCGACGCATGCGTATTAAAAATTGGAGATCACATAAAAAATTTTGTGTCCATACTATATGTACTTATATTGTGCTTCGGACTCCATTTATAGGGTCTAAGTACAAGAATTGTCGTAACTTACTTAGACTTATCAAGCCACAATAAAAGGAATAAGAAATTAGGAATAAGGAATAAAAATTTCAATTTATCAGAAATCGGATACATATTGGATCATTTAAAAAGTATCCGCGGTTTTTTGTTCAATTTTTGAATGAAATTTTTCTTTATTGAAAATCAATTTTAATCAAATATATATTGGCTATTATTATCTATAACCTTTTGCCATTTTTCAGGTAATTTCATAATTCCATCCGTGTAGAACTTCTGTGTTTATCGGCGAAAAACTTTTTCAAGTTTTTGGCAACTCTTTTGTCGGCCAATGTTTTCCATCAAGAGAGTTCTGCAGAGATCGAAACAAATGGTAGTCAGATGGTGCAAGGTCCGGACTATATGGTGGATGCATCAAACTTCCCAACCTCCCTCAATTTTTGGCGCGTCATCAAAGATGTGTATGGTGTTGTCATAATGGAAGACAATATCTTTTCTGTTTATCAATTCTGGTTGTTTTTCCTTAATCGCTTCCTGTAATCTATCCAGTTGTGAACAGTAGAGCTCTGAATTAATCGTTACACCATATGGTAACACCTCATGATGGACGACTCCCTTCCAATCCCACCATACACACAGCATCACCTTATTTGCCGTCAATCCAGGCTTTGAAGTCATTTGTGGTGATTCGCCGCATTTATAATTTTTTTCGCCCCATAATCTTTTACGATATTCTTGTATTTTACCCATTTTTCATCGCCCGTGATGATTTGTTTCAGAAATGAGTCGATTTTGTTGCGTTTTAGTAGTGTTTCGCTGATGGAAATTCGATCAATCAAATTTCTTTGCGTTAATTCATGTGGCACCCAAACATCGAGTTTCTTTGCGTAGCCAGCCTTTTTCAAATGATTCCAAACTGTCACATGGTTGATTCTTAGTGCATTGGCTATCTCCTGACAGCTACATGCCGGTCTTGCTCGACCAGCTGCAAAATTTCATCGACTTTTTCAGTGACTGGCCGACAAGAGCGAGGTCGATCTTTGACATAAAAATTTCCAGAACAAAATCGAACAAACCATTCCTGCGTCCTGCGTTCACTTACAGCATCCACGCCGTAAACTTCACAAATTTTTCTGCATGTTTGTGCTGCGTTTTTGTCTTTTTTGTAGTAAAAAAGCATCACCTAGCGTATTTCTTCAGAAATTTCACTCATTTTCAAACCAATATAACTTTTGACACGATTGATGAATTACCAAACTTTGTTTATAAAAAATGTAACCTAAAATGTCATCTTTCAGACGCGCATTCGTTTGACACAATCGGATTAGTATTGCCCGATATATGGCCATCAACACCATCTAGTGGTGTTGAAAACAAAAAACAAAAAACCGCGGATATTTTTTAAATGATCCAATAGTTCTGATAGATTGGATCTTTATTCCTTATTCCTAATTCCTTATTCCTTCTAGTATGGCCGCACAATAGCATTTTCGGCCCGACTGGGTTTGGACCAACTTGGGTTACAAAATGCTTCGTTATTCATTGATGTTACTCTCTCTATTAATAGGAGAAAACGAACACGAAACATCATTACTTCAATCAGGTTAGTGCAAACTTGATCGGGCCGAAAACACTATTAAATTATAAACGTAAATAACGCACAAGCTTTCACGTATGACGTACAACTTATTGCCGTGTCTCCAAAAGACGGCAATAAATCGTACGTCATACGCCAAAACTTGTGCGTTACTTACGTCTACAACTTAAGTTTCTAAGTAAGTACGACAATTCTTGTGCTCAGACCCATATCCAGAAAATTTCTCTAGGGCCGACGGTCTTTGTCCGGATCTATAATAGATTTTTAAGCCACAATAAATGGACGAATATAATCAATTATTCTCTTCGCATTCGATTGTAATTGATCAATTTCTTATGATTCAAGATTTAAAACATCTATTGTAGATCCGGAATCCGGACTTATAATGCAATAGATGTAGTAAACTTTAAACTCTGCGCACAATGCAAGCAAGAATAAAGAATTAGGAATAAAGAATAAACCTATCAGAAACCATGTATTTCGATGTCCAATTTCTGATAAGTTAAAATCGTTTCTTTATTTCTTCTATTGTACGCAGGGCCGTACACCCTTACGCAAAGGTCTCTATTCCAGACTTTACCTGACGTATCGTTTGCGTGATGAAAGAAATGTCATGTATATATATATATATATATTTATTTATTTCGTCCTTTAATGTGTCGTCAGCTGTCGCCCATGAATAACGCAGTCTATCTACAATACATTTACAGATCTATGTATGGCGTGACTGTGACAGTTCATTTAATTCACTTTTGCATGGACCTGTACCACTGACGTCTGCTGACGTCTGCTGGCGTCTTAGTCGTGTACACGTGCGCAGGTGGTCAATTAATAATGATTTGGACATGAGAGAGGAGTTTAGGATTTAAACACTCGTTTCGCTCGGAGATTTGGGGCTGCGGGGTAAATCGTGTATAGAGCAACGGTCGACATCGGGATTGATCGGGATTGCTGTTATGGTACGTAGATAACGACGCGATGTAACGCGAGGATAACAATAACGTAGATCTGCAGATCAATATGCTCCAGCTCATATTGTTGCTTGCCGAGCAGGAGGTAAGCGAAGCGTCGTGTGACAACGACCGGGAGACGATGGACGACGAGCGTCGACGACGACACTCGCGGGCGGCGCTGTGCGAGAGTGACGAAGTCGAGAATTCGGACGAAAGTAGCGAAAGCAGACCATCCGGGGAGAGGTGGGCCCCGGTCGGCGCGAACGACGGCGACGAGTTCGCAGATGAGTACAAATATGTCAACGCCAGCATGGAGAAGTAAGTTTACGAAGTATCTGATAAGTCTTCCTAGTTCCTTCTCGAAATGCTTGCCGTAAAATTCAGATTAAGCAATTCTCCAAAAACATATGCTTTGACTGGGTTATTCGAGATCTGATGGACATTCATTAGTTTTCCCAGATTCCTTTCAGAGAATATACTCCCTTTATGCTGTATGAATATGAGTATAAAAATTCAAATTAAAAAAGTATTATTTTTGCCTGCTGTTCTGTATACTATTATATATTTATATATTGAATCGTTTTTTGATGAATATTCTTGTTAGTTTTCAAAGATTACTTGTATATCTGTCTCCTTTATATGGCAAGAATAAAAAATTAAATTTAGAAACAATTATTGTTTTTTCTTAATGTACTGCACTGTTAGAAATGCTTCCTTTACATATAAATGAAGCTTGTGATTTATGAACGAAATTAAAAGTAATGAATGATTTAACTAAAAAAATTAAGTTACACTTACTAGTTACTTATATATAATAACTTATATATAATAAATATAAACTTATATATAATAATTACTTATATATAATAAACGTGTACATTAAATTTCAAAAAATTTTTATGATAAATACATTAAATTTAATGTAATGTCATGAAATTAAGTTTAAATTATGTAACTTAAAAGTATATTAAATTTTTGGATATTTTTTATACTTTCAGACATTTTTTAGATATTTTTTATACTTTCGATGATTTGCTTTAATAGAAAAAGAACTCATTATTAATATTGTTATACATCGTGTCAGAATAAAGTATAAGTGCATCCATAATTAATATTTGTGATATTATAAATGAAATGATTTTTGTGTCGTTAGCCTTGCATATGACATGGAGAGAGTGAAGATGCTGGAGGAAGAACAGGAGATGCTGAATTCATCTCTGATAGCCTTAACTACTCACTTTGCTCAGGTGAGAAGGTCGAGAACGAGCTCACTTTGCACCATCTTGTACTTGTGTGTTAATTAATGAAATCCATACATAGGTTCAGTTCCGTCTCCGACAGATCGTGGACGCACCAGCCAACGAGAAGGAGGCACTGCTCAAAGAGCTGGAGGAATTCGCGTTTAGGGGAATACCGGATGTGCCGAATAACTTATTGTTAGAGAGCAGATCTATTACACCGATCTCCCCCATATCCTGTGGTCGAAGCGTAAGCCACTAGAAAGCGAATTTTCTGCAATTTTTCTACAAGCGAATTTTCTACCGTACTATTATTACTTTTTGATAGGACTGTACTTTATATAACTTTGAAAGAATTCGAATTTTCAAAATTAACTAAAAGTTCGAAGTATTTTTTTACTTTGAAGGTTCGGAATTAACTAAAAAATTTCTTAAAAATTTTAAACTTTTAAAGCTGTAAAAAATGAGTCCTACTTTATGGTTAAAATTAAATTATACTACCTACTTAAAATTTTTTATTGCTTTGGTGGCATTTTTGTTGCTTTGGCACATTTTGTTATTGCTTTACATATATTTTCTAGTCATTTTAAAGCCATTTTTTATTTTTATTCTTCTTTTATTCTATTTACTTTATATATTATGTATCTTGTTATATCTATATACGATATATGTTATATTTATGTTTTCTGTTCTTTTTATACTATCTGAATATGCAATAAAAATTTTTTACATATTTTTTTCTCTATTTATCCATTTTATTTTAATACCTTCATGCATTCGATCCTTCATTCCGATCAGTTGCGGATTATAGTATTTGCGTTTCTTGTCACAATTAAAAAAATTTTTTTTAGCTGTAACACAACAAACTATGTAGGGGGATATTTTTTCACGGCTATTTATTTAATTTTAACAGCTACTCGATCTTAATAGCTCTTTAATCGCGTCAGATGTAACGTAACTACAGGTGACTGGTGTGATTACTGACGCGGAGGTCGAATCCAAAATGGCATTGCAACGAACGAAGCAGAGAGAATTGATAAGCCAATTGAAGTCTCAGTTGGAGGATCTGGAGAAGTATGCCTATGAGACTGGCGACGCCGATCTACCGCAAAGCGTCATCCTGGAGAGACAAAATATCATAATCAGTAAGTGCCAATTAATCGTTGATAGAAAATCTGCATTGCAAAGGAAAAAAAAATAAAGCAATTGACGATGTTTCTAGGTCATCTAAAAGAAAAATTAAACTTCGATGTCGATGATCTATGCAAACTACCGGCGGATGATCTCAGGTGGCAAGTCGATTACGCCATAAGTCAAGTACGTATAATGCGTATAAGGCGATCTCGAGATCAATGCTTATTGTCCCAAAAGTACCTGATATTCTTTCATCAATTTAGCACATAAATTTCTTCTCAGTAATTAATAAATTTTTAAATAATTAACACGATGAAAATAAAAAACAAATTAGAGAGAATAGATTTTCTCTAGAAGAAAATAGATTAATCCGTGTTTTATTTAATTTCTAATTTACTTAATAAATATATAAAGTCAAAGCGATTAAAAAAACGATTCTCCTACTATAGAGAAATAATTTTTAAATAAGTCGATTAACGAGGGTTGTTGGGACAAACTATTGTAAGATGCTTTAAAGCAACTGCATACATACTTTGTACAGATTGTCAGCCCATTGAAAATGAAGGAGCAACTGGTCTCTCAGTTGAAAACACAGATCGCCGATCTGGAGCGTTTTATAAACTATCTTCAAGGAGAAGTCAGCACGGAGACTTTAGCATGCACGTGCGCGTGTCCAGTACACGCTGGTGGTTCCGGTGCATCATCAGTTTCCTACGGCTCCAAGCGCTTCGAACGTGGAAGATCCATTGAGGAAGAAGCGACTAATCGAACCAAAAGTCTAACTGTACGCAAGGTGGTCGCGCTTTTGCACATGTTCCTGATGTCGCAGCTGGGTTGTGGCAGCGAACGGGTACGCCGGAACTTCGGCGGTAACAGCAGGAACCCGGCACACAATTGGCGCGATCTTCGCACCAGACTGGACATCGCCGTAGAGCACGTGCTGGAGACGATCGCAGAGACATTGCAACAACAACAACAACTGCAACGTCATCCCGACGAGGACGATATCGACGACATCGATGACGAGAACGATTACACGTCCGACTCAGATTCGCCGTCGCATTCAAACGCGAAGCTCACGTCCGCCGTGAGGAAACACCTCGCCACCTCGGTCAAGGATCTCATGCAGCATGGCCTGACCGCGGACGTGATGCGTTCCGGGTCCAGCGTGGTGCCATTTGGCAGCTGTTTCCCGCAACGCGACGTCACGTCGGCGAACTTCATGCACGCGTGGGAGTTGATACTGAAGTACTATGAGATAAAAAATGGACGTTATTACAATTCCAGTCCCGCACAGAAGTTGTCGCAGAGCTTTAATCTGGACCTCGCAGCTGGGAGAATAGCTTCCTCGAAACAGGTAGGCTATTCTCATCTTTAAACGAGAGATTAGAGTATCCAGTAAACTAATGCCAATTGGTGAGAAATAGAAAATAAATTCTTGATTATTGTAATAGTTTTTGAAGATCAACTTCTCTCGCCTATAATTCCCTGGACTTTCTGGATTTTCACATTTCAAAATGTGTCTTTATATGTTTAATGTTGCTTCTCCTCTTGTTCGTTTAGAGCTTACTGACGACTATAGGTAATATCATCGCTTCTCATAGTCCTTACAAGAGAAGTTACGACTCGCACTTTAAGGCGTTTGTATGCGCAGCTTTGAAGTGAGTAAATAATACGTTACAACCAAACTATTAAATTGTCCATCATAGCTATTTATGACATAATTAACTGTTAATTATAAATAACAACTACTTTATCGAATTACTGTTGTATTTTCAGCGCGAATAAACTCGTGATATGGTTAAAGTTGATCCTGCAATGTCAATGTCTTCTAGAAAATTATTATCTCTCGTGGAGTTACGTTGTAAAGACAGGTACGTCACAATTAAAATAATTAGATCAGGTCTATTCACCTCCGGAGCTAAAATGTAAAGCCATCTATGCAAAAATCAATATAAATAAGATTTCGGAGACTGTAAAGTATTGATACGCATCTAAGCGATGCTTATTAACACTTTATAATCTATGAAATCTTATATTGAATTTTTTTTTTACGTCGATGGCTTTGCGTTTTGGCTTTGGAGCTCAAATTGGATAGGGTTGAATTAGATTAAACATCATAAAGCAGAATTGTGTTTTTCACAACGAGAACTTTTAGGTTTCCAAGATGCGTTTCACACTTTGGATCGCCTTACCAGTTACAAGTTCGACCTACCAGTGGACTTAGCCGTGCGACAGTTTCAAAATATCAAAGACGCATTTTGATTGTACAATCTTATCATTATCATTTCATGCAAATGACAAATGTAGGATGTAGAACGTATATGTACTTTCAGGTATTTTCTGTAACACAAGCCATAATACTGTAAAAGTGAGCGATAACGGTATGCAAGCCAAGTCACTAGAAATAAAACACTTGTGTGCTAGTAGCTCTCTTGGATTTAGAAAAGTGCGAAGAGAAATATGATAAAATGCGATTAAATGATGCCAGAGGACTGATATTTAAACGTAATTCTTTTAGAATTTTATTGATCATTAATATCCTCTTTAATGAAATATTTCTATGCATAAAAATAACATTTGAAGCAATTAAAATTGTAAAAATCATTTTATATATTTTCTTCATATTTTTAATCTATGAGAGACACTTCAGTGTTTCATTTCTAACAAGTCATGCATACAGACGCGTAAAGAATCGTTTAAAATTTAATATTACAAAAGCTTTTCTTTTCTTAGATCTTTAAGTGTTCACTGTGCATATATCACTCAAATGCATATAGACAATTGACTTGCAATAACTAATAGGTGTAACGATTATTTACTTTCTAAGGTATCATCATAGGTATTTATATAAATCAGTTATCAATGTACAAATATACTTTTGTTTTTGCTTGTGAAGATAGAAAACACACGCGCGCGCGCGCGCGCGCGCGCGCGCGTGTGTGTGTGTGTGTGTGTGTGTGTGTGTGTGTGTACATATATATATA